ATAATCAATTGGAAAAGTTGCAATGTAAAAGTCAGCAATTATCAAAACCCCTTGCAGTGAAAACAAAGTCTCTTATTCGTAAAGAAAGAGAGTGTGAAGGATCAAATTTGAAGCAAAAAGAAATAGGATTTTTAAAATCATTTTGCAACGATGATACTCAAGCTTCGGTATACAAAATAAAATACTTTTTTTCTTAAAAACTTGAATCAAAGAATAAAATATAAAAATTGAGATATACAATTAATATAAAATATAGTCGAAAGAAATATATTCAACAATGTTTTTGTTTTGTTTTGATAGACATCGTATACACAAAAAAATCGTCTAAACGATGAAACATTAATTGACGATTATCATTACGAAAATTGTCATAGTAGTGAGAATGTATTAAACGATTCATCAGATATATTGAGTACTGAAGAAGATAATATAAGAGAGAGTTCTGCATTAAGGGAATGTGAAAATATTAAAAAAAAATCGAAGAAAAGTAGTAACAATCAGAACGAATTAAATAAAATTTCATGCACTTTAAGTCAATTTACATCACTTCAAAATACGGTAAAGTTTTTATACAAAATTTTATAAATTTTTTATTAATTTTATAAATACTTTACTAATTATTTTATTATTTTTAATAGGATTTGAAAGAACTGTTACTAAACTTTATAGATGGACAAATTATTGTAAAATTTTATGAGAAGCATAACGTACTCGATGAAACCAAGCGTAGAAAATTGACTGAACTTCTTATTACTCAATTTATGTTTCAAAAATCTGAAAACGGGATAGAAATGTAATGATTAAATGTTAATAGAACGTATTTGTATGTTATATTTAAATCAATAATGTGTATTTCATAAATGCGTTTTAATGCTCGTAGAGTTCGTTTGACAAATGCCGATTTTGACATTTTATCACAAAAGATCAGGAACTTGTTTCCAAATGAGCGACAGGCATTTTATTATGTACCACCAAAATCTGAAGGACCATCTCAAAAAATATCAAAAGGAAAATTACCAGATTTTTATCGAAATAAACTTGATGAATGTCGACAAATTGGACTTATACAGAAGAAACGAAAGAAAACTGGCGAGGACATTGATGAACTAGATATTGATTCAAGCATTAATCCTGAAGGTAATGACAATGGAATATAGTTATATAATTATATTTTTTTAAATACAAAAGTTTTAGTTACAAATTTTATTAATGTTACAATAACATATCTTGTAAAAAAATATTAAATTTGAATTCTTTTTAATTCAAATATAAATTATAGCTAAGCGTGTTTGCAAAACACACCTGCAGTGGTTACGATACAATACAGCACCTTGGTCGTGTGTCAAAGAACATTGGAATGGATCTCGTGAATTAAGACAAAGTTTCATAAAACAACATGAAGGAAGCGTTTCTGATATTTTTAATGAATATCCAGTACTAAAACAAGAATTCGGTTACATGCTGGTACGTAACAATTTTTTTTTTTTAAATTTATATCATATTATATTTCATTTTTTTCGACTTAACTGGCCACAATTCAGTACAAATTCACGACGTTTCAGCCCTTGGTTTAGGCTCTTGTCAAATGTAAACTATAACATGACAGTAAAATGATAAAAAGTCAATCTAATACGTACTGAAAGTAACAAAAAATAATAAAGAAATAAATATATTATATAAATAAGTATATTAATAAATAATAAATATTAAATAATAATATTTTTTATTTTTTGTTACTTCCATTACGTATTAGATTGGCTTTTTATCATTTTACTGTCATGTTATATAGTTTATACTTAATAAGGGCCCAAACCAAGGGCTGAAACGTCATGAATTTGTACTGAATTGTGGCCAGTTAAGTCGAAAAATTGAAATATATTCGTTAATCATCACTGGCAAATTACAAAATTGTTTATTTTTGTATTATATTGTTTCTTATTTCAGTTGGATATTGATTACGATGCTTTAATCGATGAAAAATCAAATATTTACAACGAGTGGCCTGATTTGTCTAAGAAATTAGAAACATTACTGGAAAATCGAGTCATAAAAGATAAAACTTTTGCTAAGCAACTGGAAGAAATCCAACTATACAAAGAAGGAGATGGTAATAAAATATTACTTGTAGATTTAAAATTAAAAAATTAACTTCATGGATGTAAAGATTGTTATTTATCTATGTTGTACAGAACATAGAGATGCTGCATTGCTTTTTTTAATACCTGTGCTGTGTCCTTCTAATGCGCGACTCAGAATCTCAGGAGGAAACAAGATATGGCGACCTACTATAGCGGAATCAATGGATGCTTTTATTTGTCATATTAAAGTAAGATATTTGTTTATAATTCATTGATATTTTATGATTATATTCTAATAAATGAAAAATTTCATTGATTTAACTTAAAATAATATACTGTATAAGCACTAATTAATTTGTAATCTTTAAATAAAAATTTATTACTATAGATCCCAGGAGAGTTGGAAAAAGTAAAACGTCGAAGACAAGAAAGAGCCGCTAAACTAAAAGACACTGTACAGCCATATATAATTGTAATAGGCCCACAATTAACTGCAATTGAGGCTTTTTATATCATCATTGATGATATTATGTATAAAATGGAAAATGTGTTAAAGGCTGTTGACATCCTATATAAGATTTTTCAAGTTCTCAACGTCAAGTACCCACCTGCCTGTGAACAGGTTTGGCTATTTATACAAAAATATATTTATGGGCGAACAACAAAATGGGATAAATATGATAAATCTGTGATGAATCTAATTGATCATTTGAACAGAATTTAAAAAAGTATAAAGTATGATGTTAATTTAGACTAAGGTTAGATATAAATTTAAACTAAGGTTAGATATATATACATTTAGATTAAGATTATTATATTCGTGAAAATAAGTCTTGCAGTTATAATTCTATCATTCAAGATGTTCCGTTGCCATTTATGTGAGGCAAAATTCAAAGATATTAATTCGTTTATTCGTCATTTTTCTTTATTTCACACATTCGAAACATGTAATCGTTACGTATGTATGCAAAATGACTGTTGTCGCATATTTCAAAGTATAAATGTTTTTAAAAGTCATTTAATTAACAATCATTCAGAAGATAATGCACCATTTTTAAATCAAAAAATTTGTACTGTTGATTTATCAGCAAGTGATAATGGTAACAGGGATTTTGATGTTTTTACTCCTGACTTAAGTGTGAGTGAAGATGAATTCATTTATGATTTTAACAATACCGAACAAAATCTTGTTGACCTAAAAAAGCAGTTACTACATGAAACTGCCAAGTTTGTGTCCAGTTTTTATAACGAACTGTCAATGAATAGAACGCATGTGCAAACGATTGTTGATTCTACAAGTATGTTTATCAACAAAATAATATTGGCATGTCTTAAGCCAAATGTTCTAAATTTTGCCAAGAACGTCGATGGTGCGATTCAATATAAAATTGAACAAGTCTTCAACTTATTTGAAAATCCATTCGAATTACTTGATTCAGAATTCAAACGGTTTAAATACTTTAAAGAACAAGGTACTTTAATAGAACCAGAATCGTATATAATTGGACAGCAAACTATTGGGAAAAAAATTGATTCGAGTTACGTGATTGTACCCGCCAATGTGACCGGTCAGTATGTGTCCGTAAAAGCAGTTATACAAAAATTATTTGCTTTGCCTAATTTTTTAGAAGAAATTTTAAATTACATGCAAAATTTATCAATGGAATCAAATTGTGTTTCAAACATAATTCAGGCTGAATCATTCAAAAAATTACAAAATAAGTATCCGAATAGAATAATTATTCCTCTCATATTTTATTACGATGAGTTTGAAGTAAACGATCCACTTGGCTCACATACTGGCACTCATAAAATTGGTGCTGTATATTATTCTTTGCCGTGTATACCTCCACATGCTCAATCTCAGCTTGTTAATATACAAATTGCATTATTGTTTAATAGTAGTAACCGAAAAGAATTTGGAAACCGAAATACTTTTTTACCACTCATTAAAGAACTAAAATTTTTACACACGCATCCGGTTTACACGACGAAGAATAATATTGATATTTATGTACATTGTCACTTAATTGTAGCAGATAATCTTGGTCGTCACGAAATAGGCGGTTTCGTTCAATCTTTTTCAGCTAATAGCCCCTGTTCAATATGTAAAATATCTCGTAACGAATTACTGAGTGCAACTTGTGAAAAACTTGAACTTTTACGTAACGTAGAAAATTACAAACTTGATGTTGAAAAAAATGATGTTAGTAGAACCGGAATAAATGAAGAATGTGTTTTTCATGAAATAGAAGATTTTCATATTTTGGAAAACAGTGCTCTTGATATAATGCATGATATTTATGAAGGAGTTTGCGGGTACGATCTTTCTCAAATTCTATTACAGTATATTGTAAATTTAAAGCTTTTTACACTTCAAGATTTAAACGATCGTATCGGAGCTTTTGACTTCGGTGTAAGTGAATTAGGTAATCGAATCCCTTTTTTAAAAAGAGAAAAATTAAATAATTGTCATTTGGGTTTTTCTGCATCTCAGGCAATACGTTTTATGAAATATTTTGGTCTCATTATTGGCGATCTTGTGCCTTTAGATGATCCTCATTGGGAATTGTACCTTACTTTAAGAGCAATAATTGATATTTTAAATGCTAGATCTTTTTCACTGCAAGAAGTTGAATATTTGCAATGTTTGGTAACGGAACATCATGAAATTTACGTTAAATTATTTGGCAACACTTTAAAAACAAAACATCATAATATGTTGCATTATCCACAACTTATGCTTCGTGTAGGACCTTTAGTGAATATTTGGTGTATGCGTTTCGAGGCAAAACACAAGGAATCAAAGATAGAATCACATATTATAACTAGTAGAAAGAATTTGCCACTCACTCTTGCGTTGAAGCACCAGTTAAAACTAAATGATAGATTACTTAATGAAATTTCTTTAACAGATGAAATGTTACTCGGACCAAGTGTTTCAATAGATTCAGCATATCTTCACCCTCATTTTGATTTGTTTAAGGAATACTTACCAGAAACTTACACAATTGTTTCATGGATAAAAATCCAAAGCATTTTATTTAAGCCACAATTTGTGTTAAATTTAAGTGTTACAGACATGTTACCTGTTTTTGGTATTATCCATTTTATTTGCTTAAATGAAGCAAAAAAACCATTTTTTGTTTTGCAAGTTTTAGAAACACTTAGTTTTTCGAGACATTTATACGCTTATCGCATTTCGTTTACGAGAAAATGGAAAATTTTAAAATGTAATAAGTCAATCAATGAGTACAGTGTTACTTCTTTAGTTAAATCAATTAATGCCGATTATTTTGTAATACAAGAATAAAATTTTCTACCAAAAATATGGTTGTCATTAGTGTATGTTTATTTAACCCAAATAAAACATTTTGGTTGCAGGAACTAAATAAAAGGAACCAAATTTTTTTATTGGAGCAATGAAACATTTGGTTGATCATATATTGACCAAATTTTTTGGTTTGGTGTACCAAATTTTGGTTAGGTCTACAAAACTGTTTTTTCAGTG